CTTGGAGTTCAATATCAAAAAGACAAACAATCCAGTTTAAAAATGGGCGGGGCTTCCCTGGTGGCGCAGCAGTTGAGAGTCCGCCTGCCGATGCAGGGGACACGGGTTTGTGCCCTGGTCCAGGAAGATCCCACATGCCGCGGAGCGGCTGGGCCCGTGAGCCATGGCCGCTGAGCCTGCGCATCCGGAGCCTGTGCTCCACAACGGGAGAGGCCGCAACAGTGAGAGGCCCGCGTACCACAAAAAAAAAAAAAAAAAAATGGGCAGAAGGCCTAAACAGACATTTCACCAAGGAAGACATACAGATGACCAAGAGGCACATGAAAAGATGCTCAACATCACTAATTATTAGAGAAATGCAAGTCAAAACTACAATGTGATATCACCTCAAGCCTGGCCATTATCAAAAAATCTAGAAACAATAAATGCTGGAAAGGGTGTGGTGAAAAGGGAACCCTCCTGCACTGTTGGTGGAAATGTAAATTGATACAACCACTATGGAAAACAGTTCCTTAAAGAACTAAAAATAGAACTACCATATAACCCAGCAATCCCACTACTGGGCATATACACTGAGAAAACCATAATTCAAAAAGAGAGATGTACCACAGTGTTCACTGCAGCACTATTTACAATAGCCAGGACATGGAACCAATCTAAATGTCCATCGACAGATGAATGGATAAAGAAGATGTGGCACATATATACAATGGAATATTCCTCAGCCATAAAAAGAAACGAAATTGAGTTATTTGTAGTGAGGTGGATGGACATAGGGTCTGTCATACAGAGTGAACTAAGAAAGAGAAAAACAAATAATGTATGCTAACACATGGAATCTAAAAAAAAAAAATGTTACTGATAAGCCTAGTTGCAGGGCAAGAATAAAGATGTAGACATAGAGGATGGACTCGAGGACACAGGGTGGGAGGGTGAAGCTGGGGCGAAGTGAGAGTAGCATCGACATATATACACTACTGAATGTAAAATAGTTAGCTAGTGGGAAGCAGCAGCATAGCACAGGGAGATCAGCTCCTTGCTTTGTGATGACCTAGAGGGGTGGGATAGGGAGGATGGGAGGGAGGCTCAAGAGGGAGGGGATATGGCGACATATGTATGCATGTGGCTGATTCACTTTGTTGTACAACAGAAACTAACACGGTATTGTGAAGCAATTATACTCCAATAAAGGTCTGTTAAAAAAAAAAAGATGGCAGGGAAAATCTAAAATACAACAATAATTACAGTAAGTGTAAATGGATTGAAGTATCTGACCAAAAGACAGAGACTTTTAGAAGAAATATTCTTAAAGCCAATAATACGTCATTTATAACAGACTCACAGCAAAGGAAGAAAAGATTAAAAAACGAGGCAAGGGTTCTTATTGTAGGGCCCATGGACTCCCACTGAGTCATTGGATAGAATTCAGGGAGTCCATGAACTTAGAAGGAAAAAAATATGCCTTTAATTTTACTAACTTCTAACTAAAGTTTAGCCTTCCCATCATTCATAAAGGTAGACAACAAATCACAGAAATGTTACAGTACCTGTGACTTTGTCACCAATGTAAATCATAAATATTTTCACATCACTTTATTGCAGTATTCCAAAATACATTTTACTCCTATCATGACTTCAAAATCACAGTAGTTATTAGGCTTACTCTTAGAGCTTGTTATTTAATGCATTAATTTAAAAGTACACAAATATTTTAACTATTCTGATAACTGTATTTCAATACAACTGGCTTGCTTTATAATTCTAAGCATTTAAAACATTATTTTGAAAAGAGTTTTATAGGGGAGTTCCCTGGTGGCCTAGTGGTTAGGATTCTGGGCTTTCACTACAGTGGCCCTAACCCTTTAAAAAAACACACACAACTAGTTTACTAAAACTGACTCAAGAAGCAATAGAAAACTCAAATAGCTCTATAATATTTAAAGAAATTCAATTGATAGTTTAAAATTTTTTCTTAAAAGAAAACATGAGGTTCAGGATGGTTTTACAAGAAAATTCTTCCAAAAAGTCAAGTAGATTACTCCAACATTTTACATATTCCTTCAGAGGCCAGATAAGAAAGTTTTCAGTGGATACTGAAAACTTGATTATAAAATGCACAGAGAAGAGCAAAGGCTCAAGTGGCAGGCGGGGATGGGGGGAGGTGAGGGCATTTGGCCTCCAGAAATCAATACTTATTATAAAGCTATAATAAAGACAGGTATGGTATGGGTGTAGGAGTGAAAAAATTCACCAATGGAACATAATAGAGTCCAAAACAAGTCCCACTCACATATAGAGTTAGCTATGGGGACTTCCCTGGTGGCGCAGTGGTTAAGAATCCCCCTGCCAATGCAGGGGACACGGGTCTAGGAAGAGCCCACATGCCACGGAGCAACTAAGCCCGTGAGCCACAACTACTGAAGCCCGCTCGCCTAGAGCCCGTGCTCCACAACAAGAGAAGCTACCGCAGTGAGAAGCCCCTGCACCGCTACGAACAGTAGCCCCTGCTCGCTGCAACTAGAGAAAGCCCACACGCAGTAATGAAGACCCAACGCAGCCAAAAATAAGTAAATAAATAAATTTATTTAAAAAAAAAAAGAGTTAGGGCTTCCCTGGTGGCGCAGTGGTTGAGAGTCCGCCTGCCGATGCAGGGGACACGGGTTCGTGCCCTGGTCCGGGAAGATCCCACGTGCCGCAGAGCGGCTGGGCCCGTGAGCCATGGCCGCTGAGCCTGCGCGTCCGGAGCCTGTGCTCCGCAACGGGAAAGGCCACAACAGTGAGAGGCCCCAGTACTGCAAAAAAAAAAAAAAAAAAAAAGAGTTAGCTATGGTCATGAGTAACTGTTTATTGAATGAATAGGTGAGTGAATGGTATTTGAGCTCTAACATGGGGACTCTGGGTGGTTTTTCTCACTGAGCAAAGGCCTGGGGGCGGAGGTTGGGGAGGCTTTGGGGACCTTGATAATCTCCATTGTCACTCAAAACATCTTCTTCGATATTCCTATTCTTTGATCTGGGCAATTAAGTTTTCTTAATTTTATGTGAAGTGGAGATTAAAGCATGTTTAGAAAATGCCATTAATATTGTTCATCTTGGGAATTCCCTGGCGGTCCAGTGGTTGGGACTCGGAGCTTTCACAGCCGGGGCCCCAGGTTCGATCCCTGGTTGGGGAGCTAAGATCCTGCAAGCCAAAAAAAAAATGTTTTTATATACATATTTATCTATAGTTGATCTATAACTTAGCTCTAACCAAGTTTCCAGGCCTACTCTCTCCTTCTATCCAGATGACCACCCCAAGCCCCCTCTATAAGGAATTCTAGAGCTACTGCTGGCTCTCAAGCTCCACACAGCTGGGTTTGTAATGATCACTGTCCCCCTTTATGGCATGGGTAGGTAAAGAGTTTTGAAGGCGCCAAGGGCCATCAGTAGCCTGGAGGTCGTCCATGTCCTCTTGGTACCGTGGAGCCGAGGAGTCCAGCCCCTGGCCTGGGCAGGGCTGGGCTGAGCTGAGCTGGGGTGAGTCAAGACAGGGCAGGGGACAGATACAGGGCTGCTTAGTGAGGCCTCTTAACAGGCCTGGCAGGCCAGCAGGGCACCGTAAGTCTTTTCCCAATTGTGATTCTATTTGACCACCAAAAGCTTTAGAATTATTCCCATGTCAAGTGGGTGCACATGGTCCCAGGACATCCTTTGCTTTCTTTCCTCGAGCCTTGGGGGAAGGGCCTTTGGGGTGCCTGGGCTGTACAGGGATAGAAGAGGCAGGAGAGCCCTCTCGCTGCTTCCTCCACCAGCCCTGCCTCAGATCTCGGAAACTGCTCTAGATGCCGAAGGTATAAATCCAGGAGGAGTGTGCAACAGAGGGGGAGGGGACCAGCTGCTTCTCTGAGGGCCAAATGTGTGGAAAGGAGGTGTGGGGAAGCTGAAGGAGGGAAGGGAGGGAAGGGGAAGGGGAGACTCTACAGCTGGGTGTTTGCCTGTGTTTCCACGTGGCTGAGAGCTCCAGGCTCAGGACACAAAGATGCTACACTGCAGACCCAGAGATGTCAGCGTGCAGGGCATGGAGATGCTGCTTCATTTCCCACCTCCCCTCCCCTTCCCTTTCCCCACACCACCCATTTAAGCCCTAAGAGAAGCTGCAGATTCACTCCTGTTTGCTGCAGGTCTGGGGACATTTGGATGCCTCTGGATGCCCTAACTGGTCTTCTGCCCTTCCTATGTAATCTTGGCCAGGTCACTTAATGACAAAAACCCCATTTGCATGGAGTCACAAAGGATGCTTACATCATGACGTCATGGGATCCTCCAACCATGCTCACTGTAACAAATTGTATCTCATTCAATCCTCATTACAAGTGCTACATGATACTGTTAGTGCACCCATTTTACAGATGAGATAACTGAGGCTTGGAGAGGTGGTATTAACTTCCTAAAGTCAAACAGCTAATAAATGGCAAAACTGGAATTCAAACTAGGGTCTACTAAACTCCAAAGCTCGAGCTGTTCTGTAATCCTAGAATGCAGGACAGAGATGGTCACTATCCTCACTGACTCTGAGTCAGGAAACTGACTCAGAAAGGCACGTCACGTGCCAACAGTTGTACATATGGGAAGTAGTGGAGCCAGGATGCAAACTCATTTCTTTTACCAGCAGCCCAGTGTCTATTTTGCCAACAACAACAAAAAAAAGTGAGGCGTCCTGAGTAGATGATCTCAGAGATTCCCTCCAGCTGAGATCACAGTGGCACCCATCCCCTGACCCTCTCACCCACCAGTCTGTCAGCAGTGGGAATGGTCCCCAAGGGCGAGTGTGAAGCACACGTGGACACAGTGGCATCCTTCCACACTGGGACACACACCACACCCTCTGTCCCCAAACCAAGGGGGGCTCCTCTCCCTCACCTGGCCCCGCCCAGCATCCCCAGAGGCACGCACCTGGGAGACTCTAGGCAGGGACACACCCCGGGGGAGGAGCTGCTGTCGTGGTGGGGCCCAGCCCACACTGGCTGGGAGCTCCCCTTCCACTCCTCCGCGGGCCCCAGGGGACTGACATGGCCCAGAAGAGTCCCAGCCCCGCCCTGGAGCCCGAGCACGTCCAGCGGCTGCTGCTCTCCTGCCGGGAGGCCAAGAAGTCCGCCTACTGCCCCTACAGTCACTTCCCCGTGGGGGCCGCCCTCCTCACCGGGGACGGGAGGATCTTCTCCGGTAAGGGCGGTGCCTTGGGGTCCCCCTCCATGGCAGCCTGGGTGGGAGGCCAGGGGAGGACAAGAAGGAAGGGCGGAAGGAGGGGCACTCTCTCCCCTCTTCCCTGGGCCGCTCCTGTAACTCTGCCACTCACCCCTGCCCTGCTTGCTGTCCCAGACAGTGAGGATGAATATTCTGCTCAAATCCAGTGGCTTTCCGTTCTTGGAGGACTGGGAAGCTGAGGAGAGATGGGGAAGGAAGTGGGAAGGGGAAGCAGGAAAGGGATGCCATAAACGCAGAGCATCTGCAGTCCCTGAGCTGGGAGTGAGAAGGTTAACACTTTGAGCCCTCCTCTACGTCTGGCACCCTCCAAAGGCTTCCACTGCTACGGGCAAGTCCTCACCGCCCACGCGCTGAGCCAGGTGTTATGCCCATTTTTCAGTGAAGAAACTGAGGTCCGGAGGTGACACGGCATGCTCAAGGTCACACAGGTTGCTGTGACCAGTGCTAGGGTCCCTCAAGCCCTGCTTTCTTCCTGTCACCTACCATCCAGGGGGATGGCTGGGGGTGAAATCGAGGAATCCAGGGGTTACTCCTTAGTGGGGTGTGGGCCTTACAGAGGGTCTTAAGGGAAAGAAGGCAGTCAGAGTTTGGGTAACCAGCCCTGAGTGCCGGCCTGGGGAGGGAGGGACAGGAATCTGAGTTGGCACTAATCTGTTCCTAAGCTCCTTTTCTTTGGTTTGTTGTTTTTATAGAAAAGCTCACTTGAACAAAAATTCAGACTTGTTTGTGCTAAGCTTAGGGACATCCTCTTTTAGGACAGTGGGGAACTGGGCGTGGAGGTGGCAGGGAAGCCGTGCCCCTCCCCCCTCCCATTCCCACCACCGCCCTGCCCCCAGGGCAGATGAGAATTGGCCCAGAGTCCTAGATGGGAAGCCCCAGCCCTGCTGCCAGGAGTCCCCCTTCCGCCTGGGCAGCAGCTAAAGGACCAGAGGCTCACTTGTGTGCCTCTCATTGGTAACCCCACCCACACCCACACCCACACCCCCAGCAGCCCCGAGCCAGGTGTGAGCCCCTGCCTCCACCACTGCTCAGCTGCGAGTCTGGCTTGGAGCCACACCTCCCTCTCTATAGTGGCCCCTCTGGGCGGTCCTTGGTGTTCTTCTTATCTCTTGTCTTTTGTGGTTCTTTCTGGTTTCACGAGTCACCTGGGTCTTAAACATCTTTCAACACCTTGAGTGTGTGCTACCATGTGAAAGGACCGTGACTCAACGTTATCCATCTAACCTTTCCAGTCTTTCAAGGTAGTTATTATATCAGCCCTTTGCAGAGAAGGAAACTGAGGCTCAGAGAGGTTAAATGCCCAAGATCACAAGCTGAGATGGGAACCCAGAGCTCCCCTGACTCCCAAGTTTGCTTTCCTGTGGGGAATAAAGAATCTCTGAGTGTCATGTGGAAATTCAGTCCTGGCCCGGGGGCTCAGATGAGCATTAAACATTAACCACCACCTCAAACAACGTTGCAATCCACACTAACCCCATGTCTCAGGGCCTTGAACATGCAATCAGCCATTGATTCCTTCCAGCGCTTCCATGTCCCCTCCAGATGGCGTACAGAGAGGGCCCCTCCCCATACTTGCATTGATTTATTCATTCAACAAATATTTGCCAAGCACCAATTACTAGGTAATGTACCAGGTGCTGGAGATACCACTGTGAGCAGAAATGACAGTCCCTGCCCCCACGGAGGTCCCCTCCTCTTGCACAGGCCATGGCTCAAAGTGGGAGCTTCAACCAATGATTGTGGGAGAGAATGGATGAAGTGAGCAGAAGTGTGGCCTATTTAAAGGGCAGGGAAGGACCTGATGTCACCGGGAAAAGGGTTATGCGGTGGGCATTTATGGAGTTCTTATGGGATGGGGTACAGGCCCTGGAGGAGTTAAAGCCTCCTGGGTTTGCATCCTGGCATTGCTGTCTCTCAGCTGTGTGACCCTGGGCAAGACCCTTCACCCTCCTGAGTCTCAGCTTGCACATCTGTAAACCGAAGCACAATACCGGCCTTTCAGGACGGCTGTGGACAAAGCTGGTGTTTCTGGCCTGGCGGTTCTCCCTGATTGTTGATGCCTGTGCTGCGTTAGTCATTAAAGATGTTGAATTTCACCCCCGGTTGTGAGGCTTTAAATGAGCTAATGCCTTTAAAGGAGCTAAAGTGCTTAGCACAGTTTCTGGACCAAAATAAGAATATCACAAATGGCGGCTGCTTCTGCTGTTAATGGGGTGGTGATGATGATTTGGAGGCAGATTGTGGAGCACTTCTGAAGGCCAGGAAGAGACACTGAGATTTGATGAGGTAGCAAGTAGGGAGACAAGAAGAGTAACAGGAAAGTGGGGTTTGAGGACAATGAGTCTGACAGGTACTCAAGGAAGACTGGGACAGAGGAAAGAGCGTCAGTGGGACAGTGTCTGTCTTACTCACTCACAGCATGTTGCCTGGCCTATAGTTAAGGTTCGTTGAATGCGTGAATGAGCGGTTTGGCCTAGGACAGTGGCAGACGGGACAAAGAACAAGGAACGATCTGAGAGGGATTATACAGGACTAATGGACTGGGTCTAGGGTGGGCAGTATTAGAATAAAGGAAAGGAACATGGTTCTAGGATTTCCAGCCACGGAGACCAGGGAAAGGATGAGACAGAGCTGGATTGTGCTGGGGACATGGTGGGCAGGGACCAACAGCCATATTAATAACTACAATGGATTAAGCATTCTCTAAGCACTTCTATGAAAGACCTTTTGTAATCTCACAGCCACCACATGAGAGGAGACAATGAGTGTCACATGCATTAGTCAGAGCGCTTTGAGTTGCCAATGCAACTCACTTTGAGTTGCCAATGCAAAGAAACCAACCAGAACCACAATGGGCAAGGGTAGATCTTGCCTCAGGGACAGCTGGATCCAGGAACTCAAATGCCACCATGTCTTCTTTAGCCTTCTGGATGCTGGTTTCTTTCTCTTATCCTAAAGGTGGGCTTTCTCCAGGCATCAGGGAACATGAGTGCAGGCATCCCTAGTTTACATTCTTACAGCCTTAAAAGCAGAGAGGAAAGAACTCTTCCCCACTAGCTCAAGATGGAAAAAATTCCAGGGAAGGGCTCTGATTGGTCCATCTCCAATCACATGCACATCCCTGGGCCAATCACGGTTGTCGTGATGGGGTGGCGTGATGGGGCCAGCTGATTCACACACATATTCCTTCTCAGTGCAGGGTGGGTCGGTCTATTGCCACAAGAAGGACTGTGGACATGCCAAGCAGACCAAACCAAGAGCCAAACGCACATTTTATGAATGAGATAACTGAGGATCAGATTTATCTGCTTCCAAATTCCTTGCTCTTTCTGCTGCCCCTCGCTGCATGAGGATATGTGGATACACAGAAGCGGGCAGAGAGAGTTGTGCTGAGGAGGGGGGACAGATGGAGGGCACTTACCAGAATCCCTGGATCTCCTTACATAGAAGGAAAGGGAGGGTAGATGGCGGTGAGGCAGGGCTTGGAGAGGAGGAACCATGAACAACCAGAGGATACCTGATAGGACATCGGGGGTGAATTAGAGACGATTAGGAGGCAGAGAGGGCACAGCTGAACTTAGACACTGAGTTTACAACTCACAGCGGGCCAAGTCTGCCCAGTTCTGTAACTGTCTCCAGCTGAACAAAGGAGCAGCCTCCGTGGAGTTTGCACCCTCAGAGGCAGCTGGTGTTCTGTCCAATTCAAAAGCAAGTCTGAGAGCTTTGCTGTCACAGTCTCATAATAATGATCTTATTTCCTCTATTACCCCTGACCCCGGCCAGGGCCTTGTGCCCCTCGCAGCTGGGCCACCAGGATGGTAGTTAATAACTACAACAATTACCTTCTGTCACTGCTGTGGGGAGAGCGACAGACAGAGGAGGAGCTCACCGGAGAAGAAAGAGATGCTGGGGGAAGGGGCAGTGAGGACACAGAGAGAAGAGTTCAGATGGGACACCGCGGGGATGGGGGCACGAAGTCAGCCCGGGGCCCCCAGCCGGTGATGGTGGATTGCCGGGTGGGAGGGCGTTGGAGGAGGCTCATGGAGGACCACCCTGCGGACATCACCCAAGGGATGGGGGAGTTTCTCTTCTTCAGCTCATGCTCTTGGAGTGGCGGTCTGTCTCTCCCTTTCCACAGAGGGATTGCAGCACTCCATATGTTTCATTGCCATTTGGCGGGGAGGCAGTGGGAGCACTTTTCTGGATCACGTGTAATTAATTTGGGAGGAAAAAAAACATGTTAAAAAACAAACAAAAAAAAACGTTTAAGGACATCCTGGTTAATTGCTGAGTTCGGCTCGTCTTGGCTTAACCTTTAAACTAATCCTTCATCTGTCTTCCCCTGACCAACCCCTGATTCCCTCCCCGGGCTCCCTTTCTCCCCCAGGACCACCCTTTGGAGCTCTATATGGCCCCGCTCCATAGCGGTTGACCCAACGCAGGCTCCCAGCCCCACCCATAGCACTTCTAGGTGAGTCAAAGCAGGCTTCCCTAACCAGCTTCCTCTCCTTACAGCCCTGCCCACCCTCCATGCCTCGCTCCCGCTGTGCCCCCCACCCCAGCTTCGTCCACTGGTCCTCTGCACTGTCACTCGAAAGCAGCTTATTACAAAGATGAGCTTTACTAAAATCCCTCGTCTCTAAAGCTGAGTTGAAATAGGATCCATTCGTGAAACTGTGCGTTGCATTTGCAGCAGAGGCAGGAACATGGAGAGAGTGGAGTATTTCTTCAAGCACGCGAACGTGACAGTTCTCTAGTCCAGTGATTCCCACGTGTGGTCCCAGACCCACAGCCTCAGCACCTCCTGGGAACTTGTTAGAAGTGCCAGTTAACGGGCTCCAACCAGAACTACTAAAGCAGGAGCTCCAGGGGTGGAGCTGAGAAATCTTTAAGAAGCCCTCCAGAAGATGCCGAGGCCACTTGCTTGAGTGTGATGAACCCCTGCTCGAATCTTAAGA